TAAATAATGTGTTTACGGTCACGTAAAGCCTTGGGCCTGTCTCTTATACACATCTAGATGTGTATAAGATACAGCATACAAATATTTCAATCAGATTCATATCATAAATAATAAAACTAAAAACCTAAATTGTTTTCAGTTGTATTTATAATTCATACTTATTCAATCTTTAAAAAAATTACCTAGTCACAGTATTTTGTATCGTAAATACACTCAGTGGCGGATTCAAGGGGAGGGGGGAGGGCCCAGCCAGCTGGGAGTGCCATTTAAGGCTATCTAGAGGTGCCATAATCGTAAATTTTGGGGTGAGTACAGCATTTATGTGCTCGCTAGCACGACAAGCTGCTGCTATTTAACTCCAACGTCCTAGAAATTTATTACTGATTGCAAAAATTGCAGTGCCAGTTCGTTGTGCTAAGACTGTGAGAAAAACATGGAGGTAAAAAAATTAGGAATTAAAAGTTAGGTGCGAAAATCCATTAGTACCGTCTATGTTAGGCATACCTGTAACAATCAAGGAACAAGTGTAATTCCAAGTATAATGAAAATTCTCACTGGTAACTGATATCATAAGCCTATTTATTTGTAAAGTAAGTATAGTCTATATCAGGGGTGGGTATAAAAATCGGTCAGAGGGCCAAAATGCATTTTTTATTTAACACCGAGTGCTGCACTTAATCTTTGATGTTTCTATCCAAAAACCTCAAAGCACTGCTTTTACCCTACTTAATTCTCAGTATGTTACCTTTTACATATAATCAGTGTCGGGCTGTAAAAATTAAGGTGTTTTCTAGCCAATGTTGCTTGGCGGGCTGCACACAAGGGTTTTTACTTCATTTTCGCGCACCACAAAATAATCACTGTCGGGCAGCATGCGGCCCTCCGGCCACATTTTTGCTCACCTGCGGTCTATATTTTAATAACAAGACAAACGTCACACATTTAATTTCTTTATTTTAATGTTAATACATTGGACCGAACTGGTTCACAGCCGAAACAGATGGCGCAGGAGCTTTTTTTTTAAACTGTACAAGTTCCAGTCTGTATAGTAAGGCCTGCACGGGGAAAATAACCTCCAGACAAAAATTTGGTCTCGGAATCCGTCCGCGCATTTCGGAAAATAATGGCAGATTTCCATACAAATTTTGCCAAAAATCAGGCTTTGACCTAATTTTAGTATGTAAATGATGCATATGCAGCAATTACAATTCTACACACCTATTTTTCTAGTAATTTTCCTCGCAGATTTTGAGCTGGTTTTTCAGGCATCATCATCCACGCAATTAAAAAAAACTTTACAGCAGTGCCAGTATGCAAGTTGACGTCATATCACATATTATCCAATACAAAAAAAATCATGTTCAACTCTTTTTTCTATCACATTTTATGAGATGCTTTTGATGAAATTTGATAGTGTACTCAAAGCTTAAATTTATGAATGTTGGCCTACTGTACTGTACAATGAATGTACGGTGTAAAAAAATCAAATCTTCCCCAATTGTGTAGGTGTTTATAATGTTAAAAATGCAATAACTTGACAACATTTTTTTGTGTAAAAAACAAAGGAGTTTCACTCTTTTAAAAAGTCTATTAAACACAAAGTTGAGTTGAGCTGACATTAACATACATTTACCCAGAATCGACAAATTATGTGACCGACTGCTCATGCATTATTTATTCCACATAAATAATGTGTTTACGGTCACGTAAAGCCTTGGGCCAAGTGGGTAGGCCAGGCCCAGCGGCCCCGGGGCCGGGTCTAGCCTAGCTGCTAGGCCTAGCCTAGGTATAACCACTTCCTTAATTCACACAGTGGCTTACAAAGTAGTTACACAATTTTCTCGCACACACACAGTACAGGCCTAGGCCTACTTCTCGTTCACACACCACACTCTCGCGCCGTCAACGAACACTAGCCAAAGGCCCCTACCAAGATAGTGTAGGGTAGGCTAGCCAAACGGATTCAACCGACCACCACCATGCATGCCTGGCTGGGCCTTATTTTTTTTTTTTTAGAGAAGATTGAATAACAGGCCTACCACCAGTGTCTAGGCCTACAGTACAACAGGTATACAAGAGCTATACATAATTAAAAAGATTGGAAAAGTGTATAAATACCTTCTTGATCGTATTTGAACTGTCCGAATGTAAATTTATGAAATAAATGTTAATAAATGGTGGAAAATGGCGAGATGCAACAACATGGAAAACTAGATTCGTGATTGGTAGAGGCTAACAGGTTACAGTATATATTTATAATATATTTATTTTAAATAAATAAAACATAATTAGAAATATAATTTGATAGTAAATATTTATTAAGACATTAAAGTGATTTTCCTGTGTAAAATTATTAAACTTATATTTTGTTTTACTATGTAGTTTACTGGGTCACGTAAGTATATATAAGTACACATTTTAAGGTCAATCCACCGCCGACTGTGTGACCTCTCAAGAGACGACCGGTTTCTTCTTTTAGAAAATATAGGTTTTCTTAGGGGTTTAAAATGTTTGCAGTTGTGTCCAAATCTGGGGCGTTGGCACCATACTTTTCTGCTACATCACAGTGTGTAGCCTCACAAGCAAGAGCGACTATCGTAGCTTTTCAAATTGTCGGTGAAAAGATAACGGTTCCGCCACAAAAAGAGTCGAGGACAACTGAAGCCCTCAGCCGTTTGCTTCCGAAAGGTCCACTCACTGCAATTTCTGGGGTTCAAGGTAGGTTGGTAGGTAGGTAGGCCGGTGATCCAGTAAGCCTAGCCTAGGTTAGGGTAGACACTTTCATCTTCATTTTCATCATTAGTACGTGGAATAAAGTCCAGAAAGAACAATAATTGTTAGTAATAGTAATAGTAATTATTACTACCACAGAATTTTTAAACGCTGATTCAGACGTGCATTATAATAAGTACAGTAAGGCCACGAGAATGAAAGTTGTAGGTTTGCGTCCGAAAAATTTTGAAAACACGAGGCATTTTTTCATTTTTCATTATTCATTATTTTTTTTATAAATGCTGTCCACAAGCCGCGGCATTGGTAATTTTACATTTATTCCCAAGAAACAATGCTTACAGTCATAAATGTACACTAGCCTATAAAACAGATCCTCTTCTACATTTAAGACCTCTTTAAACATACAAGATTTCCTATTGGTCAGAAAGATCGATTTTACCCATAAATGACCTCAGCAGTGATTGGCGATCATGGTGCGATGTGGCCAGGCCTGCCTTCGCGCGGTGTTCGCGACGAGTGATCAGTGACGAATAGATCGTTTTTCTGTCTGTTTATGACTTAGAAAGTCCGTTTTTTAAAACGAAGTATATTTTTTTTCAAAATAATGAACTTTTCAAAATAATGAAAATTTTCGTGCGGTAGCTTTTTAGGCATGCGGGCGGTGGACGCAAACGGTAAACCTACAACTTTCATTCCCGTGGCCTAATTTAGGAAGTGGGTAGATTTATTTACGTTACAGTAAACAAATCAGTAATATTTAGGCCTAGGTGAAATAATGCGCAGTCATACATTGGTAAACATGCATTATCGGTTACGTAAATTTATCAATTTTTCTAGTTAATTCACATTAATGTGAGTTCAAATTTCAGAACTCAAAATCACCGTCCACCCAAGCTGTGGTGATCCCAAAGCTCACCACAGCACTAATTAAATTACAATTTTGTTTTTTTATTAAACTTAATTAATTTTCGTACAATAGTTTGTAATATAGTTTAATAACTAAATAAATTATTAAATCATTGTGTTAATTAATGTTCTTTTGATTTTACTCACGTCATTTGTTGAACACACAAAGAAAGTATGTCTTACTACTGTAGGCCTACACCAAAACATGGAGGTTCCCTGCTAAAACTAGCACTAAATTACCATGAAGTCAAAAAGATATTCTTCTAGGCCTAAACCCACACACACACATTTACCCACGTTTTCACTATCAAAAACATCATCATTGTAGTCATCAAGCCCTGATCGAGCGCGAAGAACATTGAGAAAAAACGGCCATGTTTAGAGAGCGCGTGATCCACTCTACGAAGTATGGTGCTATGATTCATGAAGCAAGAAGTAATTAAACAACAAATATGCGTGTATTTTCTGTAAGATATTGGATAAAGTAAGACCAGGGAGATGTAAAAAATACATAAAATACATCTCCCTGGTAAGACAGAACAAACATATCTCTGTTTGTAAATAAAAAAAAATAGGCCTACAAAGTGTTATTTAAATAGTAGTAAAAATCTACCGTACTATTAGAATTAGAAACCTTTCTTTTTACTGGATACCCAATCAATGTGGGACATTGTTCTAAAAAGTAAAAAAAATGATGTTTGATTAAACAATGTCCAGTGACAACCTCTTTAGAAACAAGCATAAATGGTTTATCCTGAAATGTTCATAATTTTGTTTTTCTGACTTATCTAATGTCTATAGTCTGTTTAATGTTAAGAATTTCAAAATACTGCAAATCCAATCAAATCTTGCCATTCTCGCCTCAGCATTATAAGCCTACAGTATTGGTAAAGACTTTCTGAGTGTTAATGACACATCAAAAGTGGAAGTGGTCATTGCTACAATGATTACTGAAAGAAAAAATTTGACTGTACCTAATTTTGTTATGCTACAGTGCATATTTTGTACTCTAAATCGTATAACGCAAAAAAAAATTAATAAAATTTAAAATTTGACCACTATAGTTGAACTTGTAAGTATTTTTGACACCACTAATCAAAAGGACATTGGTTGAAATTCCTGTATAATTTTTGTTGGTAGTCAATGCTGCAAAAAATCATTATTTTATCGTTATTGTTCATTATTTTACCGTTATTATCATTATTTTAGTATTACTGTCATTATTATTATTAGTCGAAAAATATTTCAATTACTGAGCAAGCATTTGAATTACGTTTACAGGTAGAAGCCATGTCAGATTTGCACACACTGATATATCCGTACCAGATTTCTCAGATTACAAGAGGCCACAAGGCAAAGAAGAGAGTTCCACAATGCCCAAGGCATTCTCCTATATGATAGTTGGAGGGGGAGGGGTTGCCGCAGCTTATGCTGGCAAGTCCCTTGTAACAAATCTGTTGTCAACAATGAGTGCTTCAGCTGATGTATTAGCATTGGCTAAGATTGAAGTCAAACTTGCTGATATACCTGAGGTAAGTTTTCAAACAAACACCATAGAGTACAACAGTCATGTCGTCACAACACCAGGTGGCCCTCTCTGTTGTCAACAGGCGTTGGTTACCGTTCATTAAGCCTGAATGACTTCATAGGCTTTCTGGGATAGGCATTTTAAAATCTAATATTTTACAAAAAAAAAAAAGTAAGATACAGCATCTTAATAATTACGTTAGGAATTGTGATTTTGTCAGTGAAAAATGGTGCCTGGTTGAATGCTTTTTGCAACGATAGCTACGGGGTAGTATCACATAGTATTACTACTGGCATTACTACCACTGCTCCTGTTACTGCTAGTGCTGACTTCTGCTACCACCATTTCTACTGCATTCAAATTTATATAATCATACTTGCAATAGTGACTTTAGTTGCCAAAGGCCTAAAGCTAGTTTAAGGTAGATGCCATGCATTGTTAATATATACAATATACAGTAAATAAAAACATTTTAAATAAACTGATAATTTTATGTTGTATAAACTCACTAAACAATGATGTTGTCTGCAACTGTATTGGTAACTGACAGTATTTTCATTATTTAGAGTGTACCTACTTTTATAGTTTAGAGAAAACTAATTAAATAGGTCAGATAGAGTATAAATTTTAATGCAATAATGAACCACTAAACTCCTGATTGAAAGTCTTTGCTGCCCACATGCTTTTTTACCATATAGAGCAACATTTAACTTGTAAAATTCTAATTGAAAATTTGATAGAAAATAATTGACAGATCGTTCGCTTTCATTTGCTGTGTAACTTTTTTTTTCATTATAGGGAAAGAATGTTACATTTAAATGGAGAGGTAAACCCCTTTTCATTCGTCATCGAACACAAGAAGAGATTGAGGATGTATTAAGTGTTGACATTGCATCTCTTCGTGACCCGGAACATGACACGGCACGAGTCAAAATGCCGGAGTGGCTCGTGCTCATCGGTGTGTGTACTCATTTAGGCTGTGTACCGATTGCCAATTCTGGTGACTTTGGTGGATACTATTGTCCTTGCCATGGGTCCCACTATGATGCATCTGGTCGTATTAGGAAGGGCCCAGCACCACTCAACCTCGAAGTTCCCGTTCACGAGTTTCAAGATGATTTAGTAATTGTTGGATAAAACTGATTGTTTACTGTATTATATCAACATTTGTTACTAGCAATTTAAATTGAAATAAAGACTTTAAATCTCAAGACCTGATGTGATTTTTACTATTAGCATAATATATTGTTCATTATAACTGTTGCTTGGAGTAGAAATTGGTTTAAAATTAATTTTAAAAAAAATACATTGAAGTATTTTTATAATATATGCAATTATTATAAAAATACATTTAGTATTTACACAAAGCAATTTATTTTCAAAACATCCAAGAAGGCATTATTAACCATTCTCATTATAATGTATAATCATAACCAACAGTATTTATTATATGTGTAACTGTTATAACTTTAGTATGCAATATCAAACTGGTTTAAAATAAATAATTTCAGAATATTACTACTGTATCTAATAAAACACATTGTTGCCAGTTAACTGAAATGTTGAGATTGAAAATGTTAACGCTGGACAGTTGCAATCACATCAAGTGTACAAATAAATATTCTACATATTGAAGGATAAGTCTGTCCATATTATTCTGTTCTAACACTATAAAGGTCAGCATGTACCTAGCTATAATTTGATATTGACATCATAAACCAAACGGTTCTTTTTAAAACCACATACCATCAATTGAGATTTGTTACATTCCAATTGGTTTACTAAAAACAATACTAGGAAGCTCTCGATTTGCGCGACGACGCAATGCTAGAAACGGAATCACTCATGCGTGACTGCCTTACTACTGTTAGATCCATGCGACAAGGAGAACTTGACTTTTTTGAATGCGCAGATGACTTTTAGTGACGTCATTACGTTCTGCATCCTACCGTCGTCGTGGAATTGAAAGCTCTCTAATGATATTCTTGTACCGAAAGGTCCACTGATTAATCTCGGATAAGAAAGTATAATACATACTCCAAGTATTGAAATACACGCCATCGTGTTGGGATTCAATATTTCGACATTAATTATGTCATCATCAGGAATGAAAAATTTATCCATATTAGCAAGCTTATATGCACTAGTACCAAAAGTGTTTAACC